TCATACAACTTGCTTTCTCTATGTCTCAAACTTTTATCTGATTTCCAGAAGCGGGCTACTGTAGCTGTATCCACCCGCACCTCCCACTCGGGAGGTCTGCTGGGGTTTTTTTTTACCTTTATTCATTCACGGGATGAGGGTGTCGCTTGCTAGGCCAGTGTTTATTGACCATCCCTAATTGCCCAGAGGGCAGTTAAGAGTCAACCACATTGCTGTGGGTCTGGAGTCACATGTAGGCCAGACTAGGTAAGGATGGCAGTTTCCTTCCCTAAAGGACATTACTGAACCAGATGGGTTTTTCTGACGATGAACAATGGATTCCTGTCATCATTAGATTCTTAATTCCAAAATATTTATTGAATTTAATTTCCACCATCTGTTATGGTGTGCCATAATCGGGCTCTCTGGATTAACAGTCCAGCAATAATACCACTAAGTCATCGCCTCCCCTCCTATGATGCAGTGGGTAATGTCCCTATCTCTGAGCCAGTGGTTCACCAGGGGAGGTGTGTGCATGACATGACCGTACAGGTTCAGAGTCAACCTACAGATCCTTCCAAGACACGGAGTGGGCAAGTTTTCTGATCAACTGTGTTTGTGATTTACTCTTTCACTCACAGGATGAGGGCATCGCTGGCTAGGCCCATCCCTAATTGCCTAGAGGGGCAGGCAGTTAAATGCAACAGAAAGGCACTTGAAGCTTTAACAATCACTGTCCCTAGCTCCAAACTACAACACAATAACAGTAGGCCCTTTGAGCCAGCTCTCCCATTCAATATGATCATAGCTGGTCATCCCAGTTGCTGATCCCACTTTCCTCCCCAGATAGGGGAAGAATGTGCAAACTCCACACAACTAGTTGCCTGAGGCCAGAGTCGGACCCAGATCCCTGGTGCTGTGAGGCAGCAGCGCTAACCACTAGGCCGCCATGTCACCTTTTGATGATAGCTGTTAAATTTCCTTTCAGACTTGCCTTATCTCCTGAGGACAGACTTGATCTATCCCTGTGACTGAAGAGTCTGATTTAAAACAGCATGACCAACACTTTCTGGCCATCTCCCCTCCACACCGTGCCCTTCCTTCAAGAACAAGAACGAACTTCAGGATGGGGAACGTTTTGGGTGGAGCCTCAGTAATGTGGAGAGCCTGGAGACACTGGGATTACTTTCCTTAGCGTGGAAGAAGTTAAAAGAAGATTTAATCAAGGTGTTCAGGATGAAGGGTTGGGATAGTCAATAAAGAGATGGAGGAAGGTCAGTAACCGGAGAGGCACACGTTTCAAAGCCAGAGGGGAGAGAAAAAGCCAGAGGGGAGAGGAAGAGACAATTTTTGATGTAGTGAGTTGTTGTGTTCTAGAGCAAGTTGTCTGAAAGGGCAGGAAAAGCAGAGGAACTTTCAAAAGGGCATTGGGTAAGTTCTTGATTGGGAAGTTGAGTAGGGCTGTGAGGAAGGGGAGCAGAACTGTTTGGAGAGCCGTTCCTCAGAATACACATGCGATGGCCCAAACAATATCCTTTGTTATATCAATCAAAGTTTCGTTCTTGTTTGCACTACACATTTGTACAAAGTCTAATTGCCCAGACAGCCTGTTTGTGTTGGCTCCTGAGGGCAGGGGTGAATTGGTGGCTAAATGTTGATCTCCAATGGTACAGGGTCACTCCTTTACCAGGACTGGACCACTGTCCTCATGAAAACCAAAGCCACAGCACACACACCCTGTGGGAAGAAGAAATAACCTTTTATTCTGTTTTGTTTTGCAGGAGTTAAACGGAGAGATAGTATGGATGTCAGGAACTGGAACGCATTGCCCTAAACACCTGAAGGGAATCACTTCATGTCAGCGCTAATCCTCGCAAAGTCTTCTCCTCTGCCAACGAAGATGGTCATCCAGATTGCTAACACTGGCCAATGGCTACTCTGAGTAAGTTCAAAACATTCAAACCTTCAAATGAGAGAAGTTAAGGTCTTAGAGAGGATGCAGAGCCTCACTCAAACAGTAGCAGGCTTGGGGAACTTCAGTCTATGCACATGGATGCAGAAGCTGGGGTAGCTCTCCTCAGAACACAGGGGAGATTTAACAGAGATATTCAAAATCAGGATGGCCTTTGTCATCATGGACATGGAGAAACATTGGGCAGATTTTGACTGACAGAGGAGTCGAGGGTCATGGAAAGGAGACGGGAAAGTGGAGTTAAAGCCAGCATCGAATCAGCCATGATCTTATCAAATAGCGGAGGAGGCTTAAGGGCTGAATGGCCTTCTCCTGCTCTTAATAGTTTTGAATCTTTTCCATCAATGGCAGGGTCAGTCACCAGTGTATACAGGTTTAAGACAACAGGAAAAGAGCCAAAGGGGAGGTCGGACAATTTTCCTTGAATTCAGTGAATTGTTCCAGCTGGGAGTGAACTTCGGATTTAATAGGGAACCTGGAAAGATAATTGAGTAAGTCCTTGACACAGAAATGGATGGATCTTCCAAAAAGCAACTAGAGATATAGTGG